TTTCTCGAAACCAGCCCATTTTTTTGACATCGAATAAGAGTACCTTTTTTCTAGTTCAAGGTTGAAACAATCTAACAATATTATTGCTATGCCTATATCATACAGGGTGTAAAAAAAATTAGCATTATTGTGTTAAAGTTAGTCCGTCCCTGGCAAACTAGATTGGCCAAGTGTGTTTGAAAGGGTCCATTTTAGGAGGTCTTATCTAGTATCCATCATATTAAAAGAAAAAAAAATTCCACGAAGTATTTTGAAAGTTATCAACAAAAAACCGATTTTCATAGGTGTCCTTTAGGGGCACGTTACTTCGTAGGGGGGGCCGTAGGAATTTGTTTTTATAGGAAGTTGTCATGTTATTTTTTTGTGTTCTATCTGAATCCGAGAGATTGCCCACATATTTTGGGACACCCTGTATATCCATCCAACCCCAGTTCACTAGTGAAAATGTCACTATTCAAGAATGTTTCAGACAATAGGACAATGTCATATTCTTCAGTGAGAACATTGCACATTAAATCAGATATTTAAGATCTAATTCCTCTAACATTTTGGTAATAAAATTACAACTCGCCATTTAGGTCTCGTGATCGATCCCTAGTGCCGGAAACTTTTGGGCCAATCCAGGATCATTGCTATTATTATCAGGTCTTCCTTGATACTTTCTACAAAACATGAAAGGCCTATAATTCACATTGTGAGGCCAAAAACTACAATCGCCTAGGTCCCTATAAAAGCTTTCACTTATTCCAATTTTAAAAGACTCTGAGCTGGATTCAGAGGAAAGTTCTTCTTCCACCAAAGACTTATGCCCTGCAATATCAATTTTCTGCTTGATATAGTTCAAAATAACTTTCGTTATTACCAGGGTTGGCAGGATATATATCAGCGATAAATATCCTGATATATATCTTGATAAATATCATGATATTTATGCTATAAATATCATGATAAATATCAATATTAATTGTTTGGCCTTCTTTTCTTGTTTTATAGTTTTATTATTTTATGTTGAGAAGTTTAACGGCCGTAGAAGTATATTTATGAGGAGGAAATCACAGGGATCTCGGCCAAAACAGTCTATATTACGTTATTATTTTAAATATTTTTATTTGTGTATAAGAAATATCAGGTTTTTTAGGGCGGGTATTATGAAACTATTTTGACAGATAACTAAATGTTAACTTCTGGAATTACTATGAGAAGTACCGTCATTCCAGAAGTTAACTTCTAGTTATTCTGTCAAAATAGTTTTATAATATCCGCCCTAAGATGTAGTTTTCTTTTTATTGTTGAGTTTATAGTCGTCATTTTTTTGTTGTTGTTGAACCCCGTCTTAAGGCAAACATAAGTAGTATAAATGACATAAATGTTTTCATATTCTTAAACTCGAATTTTTATTTACCTACTACACTCTACATTCCTATACATATGTATAGGAGATAGGAGCACTTAAACTTAAGCACTTAAATAAATATCCAAATTTTGATATATATCGGATAATTGGATATTTATATAAATATCATGATATTTGCCAACCCTGGTTATTACTGTCTCAGCAGCTCTGCCCACAAACATCCATTTTTTTCCTGATACACCCTGAAACAGGCCATCCGCAACCCCAGCTGTGTCCTTTTTCCCAGATATCAGTCTATATCATGAACCCAATCGCTATACCTAATGGCCGATATTTTCATCATAGCTACTAAATTATCTATTATGTTTACCTTTACCTCGATGTTTACTGTGTTTTTTTGAAGACAGCATATTTTCTGTCAGTAGTACTTAGTTACATGCTCTCCTTTCCTTTGTACAGCTTTGTATTGCCTTGCAATCTCATGTATTCCTATGTATTTTCATATAATCCGATGTATTCCCTTGCAGTCATGTGTATTCTTGTATTTTTCTGTATTTCTTTGGACTCCATGTATTCAGTGTACAAATTTGGCTGGCGGTTTAGCCCTCGATTTTAGTACTAAAAATCATAACTTTTTTAATATTATAGATAGAAAACTGAAATTTCCAGCGTTTCTTATCCTCGTGGAGGACTACAATCCCCAGGGGCTTCAGCTTATTTGGATTTATAGTTCCAGAAATAAAATCGCGTTAAGCAAGCAATTTGTGGCGAATTTGTTGATTTTTCATTTTCCTGTCGTCCTTTTTCAAAGATTTTGGCTTCAAATCTCAGAATAATTTAGTGTATGGAGTTTGGAGGATCCCAAATGATTATTTAAACACAAAATCTGATTAAAAAAATTGAAATTTCATCATTTTAATACTTAGGTACACTTATGATTTAGATTTTTGAAAACTTTGAAAAATCATAACTTTTTTCTATTGTGTCTTCCACATCTCTTGCGTGCACCCTGTATACAGGGTGTCCCAAAAAGATACCGACAAACTTTAAGGGGTAGTAGGGGACATCAAAACAATCATTTTTGTTTATATAAACATATGTCCGCAAATGAGCCATTTGGGCTGTAGAGCAAAAAAACTGTTTGATACTTTTTTTCTTCGCAATAATTAAATCAATGTTTACTTATTAATTTTGCTTTATTATCAAATGAATTATGGTTTAGAATAATTGTTCAAAACGTTGACCATTTACTTCAATGCAAAGATTACACCGTCGGTTCATTAACTGAAAAGTTTAGTCTACGAAACAGCTGTTCTTAATGAGGAAGATCTGATAGCAAGGATACTGGCGAGTTGTACCCATGTAGAAGCTATTCCCGGAATATTCCAAAGAGTTCGTGAGTTGAACAATTATTGTAAACCATAATTTATTTGCTATTAAAGCAAAATTAATAAGTAAACAGTGATTTAAATATTGCGAAGAATAAAACTAGATACCAAACAGTTTTTTTGCTATACAGCCCAAATGGCTCATTTGCGGACATATGTTTATATAAACAAAAATGCTTGTTTTGATGTCCCCTACTACCCCTTAAAGTTTGTCGGTATCTTTTTGTGACACCCTGTATAGGTAGTTATAGGTATTTTGTAGCGGTTCTCGTAAATCCGAACATGATATGAAACATTTTAACAAATCGAATTTTTCATTTTCTACTAGTAGTAGTAAAATTTCTATACAGGGTGATTTATGTAGCCTACTGGTGTATTAGATGCTATCTTTACTGATCCACCTGCAAACTGGAAAACTTGTGTATATTCTTCAGTAGAGAAAGTCATTATATAAGTACCATCATAAACCTCTACCTAGGTATACTATAAAGTTAGGAAAATATGCTGCTGTTAACTTGTAATTAAGGATGATACATACCTTGATACATATTTATTTAAGTAAATAAATGGAATAGAAAAGAAATCATGTTGAAAAATGGAGTAATAAGGGAGATTATACTATGATGATACAAAATTGTGGATTTTTGGATTAATCTTTCTCACAGCACAATAATTTAGGTTGCTAAAATCCACGATTTTCTCCCACTATAGGTAAGTAAATAAGAAAACTGATTTTTAACTTTTTATAAAAAAATAATAAATATTTTCTGCCTGCATTTTTTTAGTTGTTTTATTTATCCAGCTGTGTTTTTGCATATTTATATTTGATGAAGTTTTGTCTATTTATTATAATTGTCTCAAGTGTTACTGGTTATACAGTACATCTTCTCTCAAGTTTCCAATGAGACATAGATAAAAGTTGCATTGTCCACTTATTTATTTGCAATTGGGGCATATTTGTCAACTAAGAATTTGAAACATTATTTCCTATTGGTAAGTATTTAGCAAACATTTCTGGAAATGGTCTGACATTTCTAAATTATTCTATCTTTATTGACTAGGAGTAAAAATAGACCATTTTGGGTGACCATATGAAGTTTAGCTTGGGTTGATCAATCAACAGGGCCTAAATTCATTGATTTGTGTAAGGATTATTCAACCATTTGCAAAACTGAGGCTACACACTGACAATTTTTCAAATTGTATGATCATTTATTATCAATGTGTCCAAGATAAGGAGGGCCAGTATGGAGATCTCGGAAACAGTGAAAGATACAACATTGCTCAAATTAGGAAAAACTTGCGCAATTTTGTGGTCAATAAAATACCACTCTGATATTTCAAAAATTCCGAGTGATACCGGAAATATCCGGGAAAACCCGAAATTCGCCCAAAATGATTTTATTTTTCCTGACCTTATTTGAAGAGATATTTCTAAATAAATGGCACTCCATCGTTGCCACTTTTTCTACTCTACAATATGACATTATCAAATTTGTAATCCGACGTTTTTTCTTTGGGCCATCATATCATCAGATCCCCATACTGGCCCTCCTTATCTTAGACACATTGTATATGTTGTATGTTTATATCATCTAGATAATAATTATAAGTTGTTCCTCAAGTTCAAATTCTTCGAAATATAATACAAGACATAATTACCCTTTTCATATCTTTCTAGATAATTTTAAGTGAATACATAATCTTATCAACCTATGGATTTCTATTGCAGACTTTAGCCTTTTAATCCTGAAACAAATAATACAAAACCATCTTGTATTGGTTTGAAGGCAGTTGAATACCTACATAGGTGTCTGTTACAATTTTATTTTGTTCATTAATTCATTTTGGTATGCTCATAAATTTGAATTAAATTATGCATCTCGTTGAAGCCATTACTGTACGCCTTCATCAATAAAAATGCTATTAACCATTTGAGTCACGAAATTAATGTTCATTATGATTTGATTGTAGAAGCAATTAATTGGGAAAAAATTCAAATGACATACATTTTATAGTGAAATTTCTAGGAACCTATGATAAAAATAAAAACACTTCAAATTTATCTTACAATTTAATAGAATTGATTGTTCATTAAATAAATAATACTATCATTTTGGTCATTGCAAACATTCCATAAATGATATTTATAGGAAAGGCAAACAGATTGTGCTAAGTTTTTTGGGAGGATTTTTTGAAATACCTACCTATAATTAACTTTATGAAGTTTTTTCAATGAATGTATATTTTTTTTACAGTATCAAGAATAGATTACATCACCCAAACGAATTCAACCTCCACTGAATAGGTAGCTTTCGACATGGATCAAATTCCACCTCCCAAGGAGGTTAAAATCCTCGAAACAGCCGAGGATATCCAAGAACGTCGTCAGCAAGTTCTGGCACGTTATGACAACTTCAAAGCTGACGCTAGAGCCAAGAGGGAAAAACTTGAAGATTCCAGGTAGGATTTTATCTACCCATAAAATATACAGATTATTTACTAACAATTATTGTTTCTCTTAGACGATTCCAATACTTCAAACGTGACGCTGACGAACTCGAATCCTGGATTTTAGAAAAGCTCCAAGCTGCTTCCGATGAAAGCTACAAAGACCCCACCAACTTGCAAGCCAAAATTCAAAAGCATCAAGCTTTTGAAGCTGAAGTTGCGGCCCATAGCAATGCGATCGTCGTATTGGACAATACAGGACGTGAAATGATTAATCAGAACCATTACGAATCCGAAACTATTCGTAGAAGGCTTGAAGAGCTTCATCGTCTTTGGGAACAACTTTTATCCAAATTGGCTGAAAAAGGCATGAAGCTGCAACAAGCTCTTGTATTGGTGCAATTTATCAGACACTGCGACGAAGTTATGTTTTGGATTAATGAAAAGAGCGCATTTTTGTCAACTGAAGAATTTGGACATGATTTGGAACATGTTGAAGTGCTTCAAAGGAAATTTGACGAGTTCCAAAAAGACATGGCTTCTCAAGAATACCGTGTCACTGAAGTGAATGAATTAGCTGATAAGCTTCTTCAAGATGGTCACCCAGAAAGGGACCAAATTACTACCAGAAAAGATGAACTCAACACAGCCTGGCAGAGATTGAAACAAATGACTCTGATGCGTCAAGACAAACTTTATGGCGCTCATGAAATTCAAAGATTCAATAGAGACGCTGATGAAACAGTTGCATGGATTTCTGAAAAAGACGTAGTCCTTTCGTCTGATGACTATGGCAGGGACCTTGCCAGCGTACAAGCCCTTCAACGTAAACATGAAGGTGTAGAAAGAGACTTGGCAGCATTGGAAGACAAAGTTTTGACTTTGGGTAAAGAAGCTGAAAGGTTATGTGCTATCCATGGTGATCATGCTGACCAAATCCAAGCTAAACGCGCCGAAATTGAAGACTATTGGCAAAGTCTTACAGCCAAGGCCAAAGAACGTCGTGAAAGACTTGAAGAATCTTACTCTTTGCATCGCTTTTTGGCTGATTTCAGAGATTTGGTATCTTGGATCAATGACATGAAAGCTATTATTTCGGCTGATGAATTAGCCAAGGATGTAGCTGGAGCTGAAGCTTTATTAGAACGCCATCAAGAACATCGTGGTGAAATTGACGCTAGGGAAGACAGTTTTGCAGCTACCACTGTGGCAGGAAAACAGTTGTTGGAAAAAGGACATTATGCCAGTGATGAAGTCAAAGAAAAACTTTCTATGTTGGATTCTGACAAAAGATCACTTATTGCTCTGTGGGACGAAAGGAGAATTTTGTATGAGCAATGCATGGATTTGCAATATTTCTATCGTGACACTGAACAAGCTGATACTTGGATGGCAAAACAAGAAGCTTTTCTTGCCAATGAGGATTTGGGTGACTCCCTTGACTCTGTTGAATCGTTAATCAAGAAGCACGAAGATTTTGAAAAAAGCCTTGCAGCTCAAGAGGAGAAAATTAAAGCCTTAGATGAATTTGCTACTAAACTGATTGATGGTGAACATTATGCAGCTGATGATGTGGCTCAACGTCGTGCCATGCTTTTGGAACGTAGGAAAGCTTTGAAGGAAAAATCCAGCAGGCGTAGAGAGCTTTTGGAAGATGCTTATAAGCTACAGCAGTTTGAAAGAGATTGTGATGAAACCAAAGGCTGGATAAATGAAAAACTTAAATTTGCTCTTGACGAAAGTTACTTGGATCCTACCAATTTAGGTGGCAAAGTACAAAAACACCAAAACTTTGAACAAGAATTGAATGCCAATAAAACAAGAATGGAGGATATTACTTCTACAGGTCAAGAGCTAGTAGAAGCCAATCATTATGCAGCTCCAAGAATTCAGTCCCGTATGGAAGAAATTGTACAGCTTTGGGAAACTTTAGTCCAAGCTACTGACAAGAAAAATTCAAAACTTCAAGAAGCCAGTCAGCAACAACAATTCAACAGAACTATTGAAGATATTGAGCTATGGTTGAGTGAAATTGAAGGCCAATTGATGTCTGAGGATTATGGAAAGGATTTGACAAGTGTGCAAAATTTGCAAAAGAAACATGCTCTATTAGAATCCGATGTTGCTTCCCACCAAGACAGAATTGAAGCAATCACATCTGCAGCAACCCAGTTTGTTGAAAGGGGACACTTCGATGCTGACAATATTGCTCACAAACAAAAAGTTCTCTCTGATAGATATGCCGCCCTTCAAACACCAATGGCTATCAGAAAACAACGTCTTTTGGATTCTTTGCAAGTCCAACAACTTTTCCGTGACATTGAAGACGAAGAATCTTGGATTCGTGAGAAGGAACCAATTGCTGCTTCCACTAACAGAGGTCGCGATTTAATTGGGGTTCAAAATTTGATTAAAAAACACCAAGCTGTTTCGGCTGAGATTCATAATCATGATGGAAGGATTACTGCTGTTGTAGAAGCTGGCAGACAAATGACCGAAGATGAGCATTTTGCTAGTGACGAGATCAGAAATAGAGTGACTGCTTTGAATGACCATTGGGAACATCTTAAAGACAAATCGCAACAACGTAAACAAGATTTGGAAGACTCTCTTCAAGCTCATCAATATTATGCTGACGCAAACGAAGCCGAATCGTGGATGAAAGAAAAAGAACCTATTGTGGCTAATATTGATTATGGAAAAGATGAGGATTCTTCTGAAGCTTTATTGAAGAAGCATGAAGCTTTAATGAGCGATTTGATTGCTTTTGGAAACACTATTGAATCACTTAAAGAACAAGCTAGAAGCTGTAGGCAACAAGAACCTCCTGTAGTCGACGTAACTGGCAGGGAAACTGTTCAGGCTTTGTACGACTACACTGAAAAATCAGCCAGAGAAGTGTCAATGAAAAAAGGTGATCTTTTGCATCTACTGAATTCCAACAACAAAGATTGGTGGAAAGTTGAAATCCACGATCGTCAAGGTTTTGTGCCAGCTGCCTACGTCAAAAAAGTCGACGCTGGCTTGACAGCTTCTCAACAAAATCTAATTGAAAACAGCTCTATCTCTGCACGTCAGCAACAAATTAACACTCAGTATGATAGGCTTTTGGCTTTGGCCCAAGAACGTCAAGATAAACTTAATGAAACTGTTAAGGCTTATGTGTTGGTTAGAGAGGCTGCTGAATTGGCCAATTGGATTAAGGATAAGGAGATGCATGCTCAAGTGCAAGATGTTGGAGAAGATTTAGAACAGGTGGGTGAAGTCATAATTTTATTATGTAGGGATGATACAAACATTTTTCTCATTTAGGTTGAAGTCCTCCAAAAGAAATTTGATGATTTCCAAACTGACTTGAAAGCAAACGAAGTTCGTTTAGCGGAAATGAACGAAATCGCTATGCAATTGGTGTCTTTGGGACAAACTGAAGCCGCTTTGAAAATCAGAACCCAAATGGATGATTTGAATACGAAATGGACAAGTTTGCAGCAGTTGACCTCTGAGAGAGCTAGCCAGTTGGGATCTGCTCACGAAGTTCAACGATTCCATCGTGATGTAGATGAAACCAAAGATTGGATCCAAGAAAAAGACGAGGCGCTTAACAATGATGATTTAGGCAAAGATTTACGAAGTGTACAGGCTTTGCAAAGGAAACATGAAGGCTTGGAAAGGGATCTGGCTGCCTTAGGCGACAAGATTAAACAACTTGATGACACTGCTAACAGACTAAAACAATCCCATCCAGAACAAGCAGAGCAAACTTTACACAAACAACACGAAATTACCGAGTTATGGACGCAACTTACTGCCAAGGCTAATTCACGCAAAGAAAAACTGTTGGACTCCTATGACTTGCAAAGATTCCTCAACGATCATAGAGATTTGCTTTCTTGGATCAATTCTATGTTGGGATTGGTCAGTTCAGAGGAGCTTGCCAATGATGTTACAGGGGCTGAGGCTCTTATTGAAAGACATCAGGTAAGAACTTAAAATGTTATTAATCATGATATTTGTTGTTGCAAATTAAAATTCAAGCTCAATTTTGTGCTGTTTAAATATTATCGTAACACGATTTGTTTTTAATGACAATAATTACTATAAATTTGTCTATTTAAGCAAATAAAACTTGCATTTCATTGTATTATTTGTGCATTTGTCTTGTCTGATTTTTGTGTTTTGTGTTTCTTCTCATTGGAATAGAACAACAAGGCGGAGATTGAAGCAATCTTTGGATATCCACAGGTAGATTTTGTCAAGTCTTGGCAAATCCCGTCCAGTGTGTTTAACGTTTTACTAAATCTAGAATACAAAAATCTTTGTCAAATTTCGAATCAATGAATTTGAAATAACATATTTATTAATTTTTGTTTGTGAAAATTTGACAAAGGTTTTTCATAAATCCTTATCTCACAGTAAAAATTCTAATTCTATATTTTGTTACCCACCTGTTTCTATAATTTGCCAAGAATTACTCTCCAATCAGGTAAAGGAAAAGTTTCGAGTCATGTAAAATTTTGGCCAAATGTATAGAAATTGGTTGGTGTGTAATACCATATACCAACGGTGAAGCACAAATGTGGTTTTGGACAGCACTCAGACAGAAAACTAACACCCACAATTTTTGCTTTTGGTGAAAGTGTATGTGTAATACAAATTTTCAAAAATATTCCCATTTATTTTCTTAATTTTAGTATTCCACATATTTTATTATTTTGAGGCCTGGTTTATTCATCTTGAGATACTGGTAACTGTCCACAAGATAAATTTACCATTCTCTAATCCAATGGGAACATTTATTTGTTTTAAGTATACTTTATTTTAATTATGGAACGTCACAAGTGAGAACATCAATAGATAGACATTTCATACATAAAACTTACCCTGTATATTGCGTGTTTATCCATCAGATTGCATTACCTGACAGTTTCTCAAAAGGTAAATAAACCAGGCCTGAATGTTTAAATGAGAATATGCTTGAAATTAATAAATTAGTTACTGTTTACATTCTGACGTATAATTTATTGTTCCATTTAGGAACATCGCACTGAAATCGATGCCAGAGCAGGCACTTTCCATGCCCTCGAACAATTCGGTCAGCAACTATTGAACTCTAACCATTACGCTAGTCCAGAAATCCAAGAGAAACTAGAACAACTCAACCAAGCTCGCGCCGATTTAGAAAGGGCTTGGATTGACCGCAGGTTGCACTTAGATCAAAACTTGGAGCTCAACTTGTTCTACAGAGATTGTGAACAAGCTGAAAACTGGATGAGCGACAGAGAAGCCTTCTTGGCTTCAGATGAAGTTGATTCCAACGGAGACAATGTAGAGGCTCTTATTAAGAAGCATGAAGATTTTGACAAAGCCATTAATGCTCACGAAGAAAAAATTGGAACTTTGCAAACTTTGGCTGATCAATTGATTGCCAGAGAGCACTATGCTTCTCAAGCCATTGACGATAAGCGTAAGCAAGTTTTGGACAGATGGCACCACCTTAAAGACGCTCTGATTGAAAAACGTTCAAAATTAGGCGAAAGTCAAACTTTGCAACAATTTTCTAGAGACGCTGATGAAATTGAGAATTGGATCGCTGAAAAATTGCAATTGGCGACTGAGGAAAGCTACAAAGATCCTGCTAATATCCAATCCAAGCACCAGAAACATCAAGCGTTTGAAGCTGAATTGGCAGCTAATGCTGATCGTATTGGGAGCGTACTTAGTAATGGTGGAAATTTGATTGATAAGAAGCAATGCGCTGGTTCTGAAGAAGCTGTAAAGAGGAGGTAAGAATAATTTCGAAATTACTAAGTCAATCAATTTATCAAACCCACTTTGTTTCCAGAGACAATTTGTTATTCTTTGATCTAGTTCTAATTGATAAAGTGTTTTCATTCGCGCCTAATGTCCGTAGTTAGTTGGAATTTCTTCCTGACGTTTCGCTATCACGTGAATTACGTATCGACAACACGATACTTCGTTTTTAAAAAAATAATTTTTATTACTAAAACAAAAATGTTAAAATACGAGTAAAAATATAATGGTTACAATACGTTCCTAACATTAAGAAAGCGAAGCTCTGACTAACTGTTGTGAGAGCGAAATAAGCTTAAATGAATATAATATGCTGCGTAAGCTAAAGTAGAATAAAATGTATAGTAATATTGTCCTTAAGAGGGGCTCATCTAACTCGTGTGCCTATCATCTTCTGAGGTGCTTCCATGTAAGATTCTGGTAGCATACTGACGCGCTCCCGACCGGAAGTTGTATTTATGTGTGAGTGATTGTGGTGGGGGAGAGGCGGGGCTTCGCAGCACGTGGCTAATCTGAACTGTCTTTGTAATCAATGGAATCTATCTTGCATTTTTGAGGATCGGGTTCCGAATTTGGTTAAGTTTTAGTGTTTCTTCTCTCCTGTTGAAATTCTCCGTATGTTTGTGAATTTCTATAGCTTCACGTACAAGACGATTGTGGTATCCGAAAGTCGATGCGAGAAACTTGACCTCACCAAATAGTATTCCGTGATTCTCTTCACTAAGCCGATGTTCCGCTACTGCCGATTTTTCCGATTGTCCTAGTCTGCAGTTTCTTTTGTGCTAGTGGATCCTGGTTCCCATGGATCTTTTTGTTTTTCCTATGTATTTCATTTCATTTATTTAGAACCAATATTAATAAAATTACAACAATAAAGTTATTAACTTAATTAATTAATTAATCTATCAGGTATTCTGCTATGTTCTATACAAGTTATGCCCAAGGCACCTAGGTGTTTGTAACCCCTGTGTGTGCCTTCTATGTCACTATGTGAAGAAAAAAAAAAGCTCTTTATAATTTACTAATTAAGTCAAGAAGAAAAAAAATAAACAGTTGAGTGATACAGTACACATTAATTTTAGGTATATTTGTCACAAACATTATTTAGCAAAAAACAGTTGAGAATGATCCAATATTAGAAAAAATATACTCTTTACATTTCTCAGTGAATTTCTTTCCCTTCTGAATACCTCTTATGCTATTTGGCAACTGATTATAAACTTTAGGCCCGATATAGGAAAAAAAAAGTCAAATTGCTATTATTGAAACTACGAGGTATATTTATGTGGTGGTTAAGGTTGTTTCGTGTACTGTGTTCATGATTTATATGGTCTTTCAGATAGTCATTTTTTTGTATATAGCTACTTACTGCAGTCATGTATAGTGTACGTATATTACAGGTCTCCAATGTAAATATAAGGTGTGTCGGATATCTCTTATTTTTTCTATATACTATTTTTAAGATATATTTTTGAATGACATTTAGTTTTTCAAGATTAGTTTTGTATAACCCTCCCCAGACCACAATCCCATAGGTAAGCAATGATTCAACTAGTGATTTATATATAATAACTACTACCTTCTTGTTGAGGAATTCCTTTAATAGATAAAATTTATGTATTAATTTTGCAATTTTATTTGAAAGATAATCTATATGAGGTTTCTACTTAAGAAATTGGTCGATCACAATGCCAAGATACTTAGTATGTGCAACTTCCTTGATAATTTGTGTATCTATTGCTATTGATGTAAATGGAGGTCTGTTAGCAAGTGTTAAGGAAAAAGCAATATAATTGGTTTTTGTTAAATTTAGTCGGAGTCTGAATGTTTGAAGCCAATTCTTTACCAAAGTTAGACCATTTTGCACCTTGGCTCTAACCTCTTCTCATGTTTTATCTTTAAAAATTAAAACTGTGTCATCTGCATACGATATTGCGTCCCCATTTATGTTTACTTTTAAAAGTGAATTTATGTATGCAATAAAGAGAATGGGTCCCTAAACGCTGCCCTGTGGTACACCAATTTGTACTTTAAGCTTATCGCTAAATATGCCATTAAGCTTGACCATTTGATGTCTATCGTGCAAGTAATTTCTCAGGACTTTCGACACAATTCCCCTGAACTCACACTGCGACAGAGTGGCTATGAGTTTATCATGAGGAACCGAGTCGAATGCCTTGGCAAGATCTATAAAAACTGCCATGCACCTCTCACCACTGTTCAAACAGTTATTAATAATTGATGTTAGTTTAAATATAGCATCAGTGGTGTTCAAGCCCTCAAGGAAACCAAACTGGTTTGGAGAAAGAATGTTGTTTCTTTTAAAATATGAAAGTAGTCTGTCTTTTATGCACTTCTCAAATATTTTTGCAAAATTGCTTATCAAACCTATGGGCCGATAATTTTGAATGTCAGATTTTGATCCAGATTTATGAATAGGTACAATTACTGAAACTTTAAAAGCGCTAGGGACAGTGCCACATTCAAATATGCAATTTATTATGTGCATTAGGGGTACAATAATCTCTGAGTGAGTATTTTTTATCAGTTTTGCACCCACTCCATCAAGACCTGGTGCACTATTATTTTTTAAGGAGGCGATATGTTTAATAAGCTCATTTCTTGTAACAGGCGCAAGAAACATAGAGTTTTCGATTGGCATATCCAAAATATAAGGCTGTGAAGGGGTAGGTATCTCGGTTTATACTTTACCATATGCCTGGTATACGATAGACTCGAGCGCTTGACATTGGGTTCCTCTTATTCTTGGCTGATCTGATTAATTGCTGTATTTTCCTTGTTGGCTTGAAGATCGTTTTTATGTTGTGTTTATTCAAGACTTTCCCTATCCTGTCTGTCACCCGAGAAATGAATGGCAGATATGCATTAGCCACCACTGGTTGTTCATCCGCGTTTTGTCGTGTGACCGTTCTGGGTCGGATTTCAGATGCATTGTATTCATTTGATAGAAAGGCTGACTTGAGGTGATCCAGTTTTTGCTTGAGATGTTGTGGTCCACAGATGTTCCGAACACGTTTTGTTAACGTTGTTATAATTCCACGTTTTTGCATTGGATGGTGGTTTTAGAGTGCATGCAGGTACCTGTCTGTGTGTGTGGGTTTCCGGTACACTGTGTGGCTTAGTTTTCCTCCAGATTTCTTTATGAGTACATCTAAAAGGCGATTTCTTGGTTTTTCTCCTTTTCCATGATAAATTGTATGCTGGGACGTTGCGCGTTCAGGTAACCCAGGAACTGATTAAGCTTCTCTTCCCCGTGACTCCAAACCACAAAGGTATCATCTGCATATCAAAGCCATACCGTTGGTTTGTGGTCAAAAGATTCGATTTCGTCTCGGAATCCTCCATAAAGAAGTTGGCTATGACCGGGCTGAGCGGACTTCCTATAGCTACACGTACCGTCCGTTTGCTCTTAGAAATAGCCGTTCCACAGAAAGTAACTACCAGTGAGACATGTCCGGAAAAGCTCAACTATGTCATTGGGAAAGGTACTTGATATCAAGTCAAGAGATTCCGTCAATGGTACTTTGTTGAATAGAGACATGACATCAAAGCTGACCTGAGGATATCCTTAGGTTGGAGCATAATATCCTTAATTTTCTGGACAAAGTGAGTGGAGTCCTTGACTTGAGCGATGTAAGTTGTTTCCCTAGGTTGCACGTTGGTGCTCCAGGTGCACTCATTATGGGTCTTAGCGGGACTTCAGGTTTGTGAATTCTGGATAGGCCGTAGAGTCGTGGTGGAACCACTTCGGTTTTTATGATGCCTTTCCTAATCGTGTCTATTAGGCTAGATAACCTAATCAGTTTGTTAGTGTTCCGGAGTATGGCTTGGGTGGGATCCTTCTTTAGCTTTCGGTAGAAATCCACAAACATAGGGAGAATTTCAATAGGAAAGAAGAAACACTAAAACTTAACCAAATCAGGAAGCCGATCCTCAAAAATGCAAGAAAGATTCCAGTACAGAGAAAGTTCAGATTAGCCACGTGCTACAAAGTCCCGCCCCTTCCTCATTACAACCACGCACACATAAATAAAAAACAAGTGAAACGTCAGGAAGAAATTCCAGCTTACGACAGCCATTAGGCCCGAATGAAAACACTTTATCAATAAACCTGGGCTGCAAAAGCCTCACAAACTTTATTTCAAAAATTGTTATAACTATTTCAGGCTTGAATCTATTGCTGACCAATGGGAATTCCTTACTCAAAAAACAACAGAAAAATCCATGAAATTAAAAGAAGCCAACAAGCAAAGGACTTACATTGCTGCTGTCAAAGATTTGGACTTTTGGTTGGGTGAAGTTGAAAGTTTACTCACCAGCGAAGACGCAGGAAAAGATTTGGCTTCAGTGCAAAACCTGATGAAGAAACATCAATTAGTCGAAGCCGATATTCAACATCACGAAGATAGGATAACCGATATGAACAAACAAGCTGATTCTCTTATCGAATCTGGCCAATTTGATACTGCATCAATTCAAGAGAAACGTCAATCGATTAACGAACGCTACGAACGAATTAAAAACTTGGCTGCTCACAGACAAGCGAGACTTAACGAAGCAAATACTCTTCACCAATTCTTCAGGGATATTGCTGACGAAGAATCCTGGATCAAAGAGAAGAAATTGCTGGTGGGAAGTGACGATTATGGACGCGATTTGACTGGTGTCCAAAACTTAAAGAAGAAACACAAACGTCTTGAAGCTGAATTAGCTTCCCACGAACCTGCTATCCAAGCTGTTCAAGAGGCTGGTGAAAAATTGATGGACGTTTCCAATTTAGGTGTACCAGAAATTGAGCAAAGGCTTAAGGCTTTGAACCAGGCTTGGGCTGAACTAAAACAATTCGCTGCCACTAGAGGACAAAAATTGGATGAAAGTTTGACCTATCAACAATTCTTGACCAAGGTAAGCTTAGTTTTATTAATAATTATACAATAATATAATATATATTTAATTTTAGGTTGAAGAAGAGGAAGCATGGATCAGCGAAAAACAACAACTCCTCAGTGTCGAAGACTATGGAGATTCAATGGCCGCTGTGCAAGGTCTATTGAAGAAACATGACGCGTTTGAAACTGATTTCCAAGCTCACCGAGGTCGTTGCAAGAACATTTCTGAAGAAGGCACTCAATTGGCCGCTGCTGGAAATCATCATGCTGACAGTATTAACCAGCGTATTCAGCAATTGCAAACGAAGTTGGACCATTTGGCTGCCTTGGCGGCTAGAAGGAAGGCTAAACTTGTGGACAATTCTGCTTACTTGCAGTTTATGTGGAAGGCCGATGTAGTTGAAAGCTGGATTGCTGATAAAGTAAGATTGGATTAAACATTTTGCTTGTAACATTATTTATGTATATTTTCTCTCAGGAAACGCATGTTAAAAGTGAAGAATTTGGAAGAGACTTGTCTTCAGTGCAAACCTTGTTAACTAAACAAGAAACTTTTGATGCTGGTAGGCTGCTTTTGCACACAATAAATCACTTTCTTTAATGATTACAATTTTTTAGGGTTAACTGCCTTTGAACACGAAGGCATCCAAAATATCACAGCACTTAAAGACCAATTAGTGGCAGCCAATCACGATCAAACTGCTTCAATCGTGCAACGTCATTCTGACGTTATCGCTAGATGGCAGAGCCTTTTAGCTGACTCAGACGCCAGAAAGCAACGTCTTCTTCGTATGCAAGAACAATTCAAGCAAATCGAAGAATTATTCTTGATGTTTGCCAAGAGAGCGTCTGCTTTCAACTCCTGGTTCGAGAATGCAGAAGAAGATTTAACTGATCCTGTCAGGTGCAACTCCATCGAGGAAATTAGAGCTTTGAGGGATGCTCATGCTCAATTCCAAGCGTCGCTTTCCAGCGCTCAAGCAGATTTTGATGCTCTAGCAGCTTTGGACAGGCAAATTAAGTCGTTCAATGTCGGTCCTAATCCGTATACTTGGTTCAATATGGAAGCTTTGGAAGAAACCTGGAGGAATCTTCAAAAGATTATTGCTGAAAGGGATGCTGAGTTGGACAAGGAGGCTCAAAGGCAGGAAGAAAATGATAAATTGAGAAAGGAGTTTGCTAAACATGCCAATGCTTTCCATCAATGGTTGACAGAGACTCGGTAAGTAATTTTTTATTTGTATTTAGGTTTTGAGCCACACTCAGGCAGTTTCCTAACTTTAGTCCTAGTTATTGAAACGTTCATGTGTGTGGAATAGAAACTGGCATATTGTTGATCTGCTCTAAAAGCAATTATTATCACAATGTGTCAAACATTATCTTTGTTATATTTAAGAATTTACTTTAAACCTTGTCATATGAAAATTTGCTAAAAATTTGCTCTTTTCTAGAACCTCAATGATGGAAGGCTCAGGATCATTGGAACAACAATTAGAGGCGACCAAACGCAAGGCAGCTGAAGTTAGAGCACGTCGTTCTGATTTGAAAAAGATTGAAGATTTAGGTAAAAGACAGATTTCTATAATAATTTCAGTTCGCATGTATTTAATGTTTAATGTTTATAGGTGCAATTTTGGAAGAACATCTAATTTTGGATAACAGATACACGGAACACTCAACAGTAGGTTTGGCACAACAATGGGATCAACTTGACCAATTGGGAATGAGGATGCAACACAATTTGGAACAACAGATACAGGCTCGTAACCAATCAGGTGTGTGCTAAAAGCTCAATTGTATTGAAAATTAATTTTTAATGAAAATGTCATTGTAGGAGTTAGTGAAGACGCCCTAAAAGAATTCTCAATGATGTTCAAGCACTTTGACAAAGAAAAGTCAGGCAAACTCAACCACCAGGAGTTCAAGAGTTGTCTTAGAGCACTCGGTTACGATCTACCCATGGTGGAAGAGGGGCAACCTGATCCTGAATTTGATGCTATACTAAGTAAGTAGCAAAAACAATGATTTTGTTTTTACTATATTATAATTTTTTTAGATGTTGTAGATCCAAACAGGGATGGTTATGTATCATTGCAAGAATACATGGCATTCATGATAAGCAAGGAAACCGAGAATGTGCAAAGTTCTGAGGAAATTGAAAAAGCATTTAGAGCAATCACTGCTGGAGATCGCCCCTATGTTACAAAAGAAGAGTTATATGCTGTAAGTATTTGTCGGATACATTTGGAGTTAATAATCAATAACCACGTAATTGAAATTTTCCAAAAAAAATCAAAATCTTTATTAACGCATGTAGCATTTACAGATTATAAAAAAACTTAAAATTTTAAAATAGAACATTTTCGGCTTGTCGATACATATATAATACACACATAACAAAAATGACAGGAGCAAGATGGTGAACAGACCAATCCATAAATATTAAAATTAAAAAAATATATAAATAAAAACAACAGGACAAGATTTAAAGGTTAAACATACAATTTTTTTTCTAGAATCTTACCAAAGAGATGGCTGATTACTGTGTAGCCAGGATGAAACCTTTCCTGGAACCGAAAACGGAACGACCAATCGCTGGAGCATTGGATTATATAGATTTTACGCGCACCCTTTTCCAAAACTAGTACTCTTAAGGTTAAGGCTTAAAAATATATAATCACTATATATACAAAAGATTTATTTAAAAAAATATATATTAAATATTTACTTCTAGCTTAAGCTTTAAGCTGTCCTAAAAAAAAATATATGGTTCAAAAAATGTATTGTGGCTTTAGCTTAAAAGTTCTCTGCTGCATTTTTCTCTTGTGTGTTATACATAATAATTATTTATATTTTTCTTAAATTGGTTTTGGAACAAAAGCATCACTTGACAGCTATTTAATAATGTGTTCTTTTTGTACTTTATTTATTATTAGCCAGCACTTTCTGTGTAATTCTCAATAAAATATATTGACTTTCGCTTTAAAAATTTGCAGTTTTATTTATAAACTAAGGATGCATTTCAATATATCCCAAATCGACTTCGTTCAATTCTTTTTCTTCCCTCAAAAAATCCTCCATCAATAATTTATACATTTTCGTTTTTCTTTCTCGTAGATTAATTTTACCTGCACAGAGCAGTTCTTCGCGCAAATTCAAAAAGTAAGAGTTGAGCCCCATTGCTTTGGTGGCGTCGCATGCTAGCGGGACACGGTAGTCGTATGTCATCACTTTTGTGTTTCTACAATGACGGTTTAAATGCAAGTTGGCTAAAAAAAATTACTTACAATTTGAGAATCCGATCCGTACATGCTTTGTGATCTGGTAAAGCTGATTCATTTGTATCATGCATTTCATTTCCATGATCTTTACTAGAATTGGCCATTTTTAGGGTAAATAGAAAAAGAGGGAATAGTGAAAAATGTAAAAATTTGACAAGACTGGTATATTTATCATTAGGAAGACAAGTTTGGTTGGTATTTTTTTAAAAATTTTAAAAAAAAATCGATTGTCAGAAGTGGGATTCGAACCCACGCCCACAGAAGTGGACTGCGACCTGAACGCAGCGCCTTAGACCGCTCGGCCATCCTGACTATATCAATTTAAGTTTCAAGTTACATTGGTTCGCGACTAGGATGACATTAGTACGTCTTGAGATTTTTTATTTCAATAATAACTCTACCAATTACCTAAGAGTGTGCGGATAGTGCACATTACCACCCATATTTGCAAGTGGAAAGTTGCACTTTAAAGTAGACTGCAAAGTGTGCCGTTTGGTACCTATTTATAATCAAAAATCCCTTCTTTTTCCGAAATTTCGATACCTAACGCCTTTTTTAGAGATAGATGCCCATAGGTAAAAATTTGTACCTAATAACACAACTGGCCATTGTGTGCGTTAAAGTATCGCTTAATTAAATTCCGCATTTGTTAGATAGGTTATCAACAAAAATCACCAACCCAAAAATCTGCATAATCCTCTACTAGGACCAGAAAATCTCATGTCTTCAGCTAATGCGGAGATCTCAGGATACACTCATATCGTCATAGCACTCATAGCAGGTCTGTTCTCACAGAAATCACAGTCAAAGCGTATTTCATTGGTTGAAAATTGTCAGAAAACTGGTTGATGGCGATTTGCACCAATCAAAAACGACGCGGCTGGTTTGTGATTTCTGTGAGAACAGACCTAATGTCAACGATTTAACAAAAACCATTGACTGGAACATGACTTTATATCCTACAGACTGCGCCAATTTTATAGTGGTGTGCCTCGTGAATGAATTTCTTCATCCTTGAATTGCAAACCGATGAGACTGTTTTGTACAATTTCTTTCTAGAGATTATATCAGGTTTTTTTTTTGTGCGGCGAACGACAATAAACTTAGTTCTAGAACTTATGCAGGAGCCGTAGTGCAAACAGCGTAGATATTGATTATAACAGGTCTTCAAAACAAAAAAAAAAACAATCATAGATTGCTATGATATTTTAAAGTAATGTCTTAGCATTTTCTTCAATTTTGTCAATGGGTATTCAGACTCAATGATTTTTGATGTCAAAATGTCATGTCAAAAATCCTGACCAATAATGCGACGTACATTTTCGTAATCAAAGCAATCCTTGATTACTTATTTTTTGTTTTAAGACCGGTTAATATTCAAAATTATCAGAGTCTTACGATTCACTAAAGATCGGATCGCTATATCACTGTGGCCTCAGTAGAAAAACGTCATACCATACAGGTACAACACTCCGGTTACGCTTAGGAAGGTCCATGCTCCTTCAAGGCAATTTAGTATGTATACACATATTAGCTCTGTTCCAACAGACATGAGCCGTTCCAGAAGAACCAGTAATCAGTTGCCCACCTATTTTTCAATAAGTTGAACGTTTATCCTACTTGACAAAATAGAAATTGACTGAAACAAATCGATGACGTCAAAAACGTTCGTCGGTTCTTAAGCCAAAAGCTCACTGACGCGTCTTCGATGTCAAAAGTATAAACCCGTGAAAGGAACTGTATACCTATACCTTCTACCTCTATACATCTCTCTTTAAAGGGGGTGTGACCCAAAAATTTTTGTGCAAAAAATCTAAGAATAAATATTTAAACCGCATCTTGCTACGATGGTCGGCTTTCGAGTTAGGGCGGTTTAAAGTGACAATTAGGTGTTTGTGACGTCACACCGAATTATCAGGCATTATTAACAGGTGTAAAATTTTCGAAAACAAATGACAATTATCTCACTAATAGGCGGTTACACACGGACGTGGATGGCTTGATACATATTATGTGCATACATCAACGTACAAACAACAAAGTGCATGTCACTTTTGTACAGACGCTCGCACAAAACTGCCAGTCTTGCTACTTACAGTATTCTGAGTGTGCATACAAAATTTATAGCGATTTCAGGAATCATTTGAGTGTCATTCTACAGTTTGCACATTCAAAAACGCGACGGTATTTTGCATACACATCGATGTTTTTGTTTGCACTTTCATGTATGTGCGTACATGTTTTCAGACATCCACGTCCGTGTGTAACCGCCCTAATGCGAATTGCAACCACTGAAAGTATAGGGTACTATACGGTTCACTGTGACGACTGAACGAACAGAAAACTGCGATTTTGGCGGTTGTGACATCACAAGTTCCTGCATAATTTATTTTCACAAGGAATTTTCTCGGAGACTATTTTGAATCTAGGACTGCGGTTTTCACGAGAAATCTTAGACTTTTTGTCTTGATTTAAGCAGGTTCAAGTCGTTTTTTAGGGTCACACCCCCTTTAATTGTCTTATGACCTTTCTGAAGTTGTAATTATTGTTCGAAGATGTGGATTACTACTCCCACCGTGTAAAAGCTAGTAAGGATTATATCTAAGATTTCTTTTCCTTCAAGAGTTTAGTGAGGCATGAGGCAGAGATTCTGGATTCCAAAAAAGGTACCTATAAAGATCTTGAGTTCAGAAGGGAACTTTATCACTTTTCTATGGACACGCTCTATCACTCCTTTGTCTTTGACTCCTTTTATGGTCCTTACACTGACTGGGCAAACTCTGGGGCTGGTCTGATAAAAAGGAATCTGTAAAGTCGAGTGAGTGGCTGTGTGCTGGTCGAAGAATCAGGAATATCAAACTTACTTCGAGCAAATATATTCAATAATCTTAGCAGAGCGCTTTCGGCCTCGCGGCCATCCTCAGTAACTGAAAAGCTCTGTACAAATACAACACTTTTCGTTGTTCAGCGGCATCAGTAGACCACTTTATAGTCTACTCATCGATTATGTTTGAAGGTCTATTAAACTTTAGGTGGTACCGCCTATACTCCAGGTATACTCATCGAAACAGACGTTAGAGGAAACCAGAACAAATCGAGGGATTTCGCTAATTTATAACTAAGATCCTAAATCTAAACTCAGGAAGAAGAGAAACTACCAGACAACTAATGCAAAGACGAAGAGATATGAGAATAGTGAAGAGCACACTAAAGTCGATACGAGATATACGAGAAATAAGCAAATATATTGAAAACTGTTAGACAGGAAGCCCGAAAATACAATCCAGAACAATAAAATAAACGTACAAGATAAAACCATAAAACATCAAAGCCAAAGACAAGAGCGGGCAACCTACAATAAAAAAAAGAGGAGTAGGTAGCTAACCTACTTAAGATATAGTCAGAGACTTCTACAGAATGTTGATCAGAAGCCAAAACGAAAAAAACAACTTAGGGAGAGGAGGCAGAAATGCTCACTGGAAAAGAGGGCATTGTCAATCAAGGTTCAGACATCACAATGAAGCTGGAAGAAATTCTGCCGAGAATGTTCGACGATAACAAAATATCGATAATAAGAAAACGCCAAATATTTTGGTCGCTGTGGATTTTCGTGTACGAATTGCAATTATGATGAACTTTCAAAAAAATCCGCACGCATAGCGGCAACTATAGGGAGTGCAACAAAATTTAGCACCATAGCACTACCTATAACACTAGGAAATATAAAATACCGTAATACAAAAATAATGGCGCTATAGTATAGGTATGTACCCCTCGAATTTGGAACTGTTGCACCACTGTCCGCACGTAGCTAAGTTGGGTATTCTATGAAGAAATCAGCCATCTTTTCTCACCCCATTGCCTTCCGTAGCTTCAGATTCCCTGGCCAGACTACTCAAGAATATAAAAGATATTTGCAATGTGCCCTTTTCACAGTGCAATACCGAACAAATGACAAAAAGCTGAGAGATGAGGTCGTTTTAATCTAAAAAAAGAAGAGACCCTCCACGAACTAGAGAATTATAGACCAATAACTGATAAGTTTTCGTCACCGATATAAACATACCTACTATACTATATAATGACTAGACTGGAGAACAAACTTGACTTTTACCAACCAGGAGAGCATGCGGGATTTCGTGCAGGATTTGGAACCAACGATCACCTGGAGTTAATTGAAATAACTGTATAGAATACAATAGACCAATAATTGTTTTAACTTTTGTGGGTTTCCATAAAGCTTTCGACACAGTAGAGTTTGATGCAATCATGGAAGTACTGCAATCTGCAATAATGCCGCGTTCATTTATCGGTACAATTGGTGGTATGAATAAAAACGAGGTAGGTACCTGCACCTGCTATATACTGATACTACTTAGAAGTTTTAGTAGCTATAGCTTTTCTCTGTGCAGTATTTAGGTACTTAAAAACGAAGTAGATATTACATTACTCCCTTCTGTATTTCCGGAAGTTGCTAAAATGATAGATTCTCCTAAACATTATATTAGTGGCATGTAGGAACCTTAGTCCAGGAGATTATTATGCATTATTTGTGTCCCAGTTACTTTTGGTGACGATGGTACGTACGACAGCTGAAAATATCTACTTTTTACTGGTAGATACTTCGATTTCAACAACAACTGCAATATTTACTGCGGTATCAGTTATAAGTTGGTATTATAGCAGCGTCACCATGAGTGCTACTAAGCGATTATTTTAAAAATGACTCAAATACGAAGAAATAAAATTTTTAGGTACCTACCTACTGCAAGAAGACTCAAATCTGCATCTTAATTTCGCCGATTTAATCGGAGGTGTCATTCGATCTTTTATCTAACATAATTTTAAAGTCTTCAAGAACAATACAACTGTAGCAAAACGCCCCAAGTACTCTATATAAATTTAGTTAGATGGTAAATGGCGAGCGGTATACTGATGGTGTTTATATACTTGGAGCTTGCTATCTAAAATCTGTGGAAGAGGGTCTATTTGCAAGAGAGAGAAACAACTAAGGAGGTGTACTAAATTATATTTTATTTCACATAAAACCCAAAAAATCAGCCAAATATCTTCCAATACTTTACATCCTTCTTTATTTCTGTAAAATCAATACTTCACATCCGTTCTACCTATATTGTTATTTCACGGACCACTGAAATATCCCTACTAAATAAGAAACGCCCTATTCATACTATTTCTCAAAATTATGATTAAATTTTACTACATCCGAATCATTCGTAATAACTATCCTTTTCCTAGTCAAATAATTCCTTAAAATCTCTAAGTCCTTTACTTATGAAAACCCAAAATAATTACCTATTTGTTTATCAACTAATTTATTCTCATAAAATCTTACAATAATTTCTGCTTGTAAAATAAACTCCCTAACTCAAAATTCCCTTCATGAACAATAAATTATTTTAACAACTTTCCCATAATTTAAGACAATTCTATTTCATGAACAAGTTTAATTTTCGAAACATCCTATATCCTTTTCATTAGTTTATTTAATCAGAACAAATTCTATTATAATTTTCCTTTTTAACAACATTCCAATATTTCAAGAAAACAATTCTATTTTATGTCATAAAATTTCTTTTCAAAATTTCCTATTGCAGTTAATAGTTTATCAGAACAAATTCTATTATAAGTTTCCTTTTTAACAACATTCCAATATTTCAAGAAAACAATTCTATTTTATGTCATCAAATTTCTTTTCAAAATTTCCTATTGCAGTTAATAGTTTATCAGAACAAATTCTATTTTCGGATTCCTATGCCTAGCTAATAAATTCAACTGTTTAATTCATAATTCCAACTCAAAATTGTATATTGTTAAATGCATTATAAGTGCTCTTCATATTTTTGTTGCACATTCAAATGTCATTATATCTGAAGGTAATTAAAGTTATGCGATAATGTTTTCTTTATAAAACACTCAAGTTATTAAGTTTATTGTAGTAAAATTCCACCGTTAAATTAAAAGTCAAAAGTTTTCTAGTAAAATTCACACAAAGTCATGTTCATCAAAAATAGATCTTGTCACTATAAAGTACTTACATTTTGTCCATAAAACACACGTAAAATTACTTAATTAATTACTCAAAATATTTAGTTAGCACGCACATAATTTATTGAACGAATTTCAAATGTTATTACTTTCACGATTTTCCGTAAATTTTCTAAGTTAAATTATACCCGAGGCCATAAGCCATGAAAGAAACTTTTTGCGAAACTGGTCAGACTTCAACTCAAATGGACGACTCAACTGTTTTCTGGCAACTATCCTTTCGGCAACTTAAACGCGGCTTTTTATATCTTTTGTTTCCCCTACGATATTCTGGGTCCATGACAATTAAGATGATGCAATTTCCTTGGAATTTTATATTATTTTTGGTCTAAAATCAATTAATTATGTCGCAATAATCTGATTTATTGAGGTCAATAACACGTTTGGGTTCAAGAATGCCATAATTCATTCGACTCAATTTTTGGTAAGCGGAAAAGGCCTTGGCAAACAAGTTCATTGATCGGTTAGTTGATGACACAGGTGCTGTGTGTCCAGATACGTAGCTTTAATCTATTTTATTTTAATTTATCGATACAGATTTAAAAATACCGGAATTAAGTTTTTTGATTATTTGATAAAAATTAAAATTTTTACAGTAAAGACTTTGTAATTATAGGGTCAAATTTCTGGATCATCACACAACAAATGCCAACTGTTGATCTTCATTTTGGGACTCGTAGCGGTACACATTTCAAATAACGTAAGACACTTGTTAAGTGGGTACTTCATAATATGGAATACCTAGGTATATACTTTGTGGTGAAGCATATTCTATGTCAAGTCAAGTAAAGTAAAACACCTACTGCATGGTACATATACTAAATTACTTATACCACATATTATATACAAGAATGCGATCATGATGGCGAAACTGCATGAAAACACGGATCCTATTCCAATTAGCAGAGGAGTACGACAAGGCAATCACCTCAACCTCAATTCAAGATGGGGGAAAAGTACCTACACATAGGTACCTGATCACGAAATAAAGACCTCAAGAGACCAAACATATGAACTAAAGATAATGATTCTCGCATGGGCCGTCTATGGCAAACTCAAAAATTTCTTCATAAGTAACCTACCAATCTGTTTAAAACGCAAAAACATTCAAAATACGTTTTACCAGTTGAAGTATATGAGGATCTTAGACGAAGAACAAGAGTGACGGACGTGATTTCCCGAATACCTAGATTCAAATGGAACTGGTTCGGGCACGTAGCCCAATGCCATGGACGAAAAAGATGGACGGAGAGGTTGCTCGTGTGCAGATCAAGAAAGGACAAAATAAGTAATGGAAGGCCTTCTATCCCATAGACCGACGATATAAAAATAAATACAAATAACTGGATGCAGAGCGCTCAATATATAGAGCACAATGGACAAAAATGAGGGAGGCCTATGTTCAGCAGTGGACGTAAAAGGCTGGGATGATGACGACTCTCGAGTGGTTTGCAAAAGATTTTGTCATCATCAGCCAAAGAGTGATATTTTTGTGAAAATGTAGTTACTTAATGGCCTCAAAACCGAACAGCGAACCCTCCACTCTGAACTCGTTTTTTTTTTTTTTTTGAAATAAACGTTATTTAACTCTCATAGAAGTTTTAGTTGTTGAGAATAAGAACCGCGTCTTATGGAAATGTAACAGATGGCCTGGACCTCTACTGTAGTGTAGTCCTAGGCCTTTTCGGAGAAGTCTTCTGATCAAGAATATCGAAGGCAAGTTAAGTCGAGGTACAGAACATCGCATGAAGCGTTTATCATAACGATAACGGGATGTCCATAGTAGAGTTGTTATAGGATGTTATCAATGAATGAGTTTTAAAACGTTCCTCAGGAATCTGTTCTGGGGCCTTCATTATACTAATGATTCATCAGAGTCGGATATATCTGGTGTGTACAATGTTTGCTCATGATACGACTATTTTGTGGCATGGCAACAATACAAATCAGTTGGAGAGCGTAGTTGACAGGATTGAAATTAAAAAATAGTGTGACTCAAATTTCTTAACACTTTATGTTCTCAAGTTGTGTGGGGCTTACATACATGCTAATAAGTTTTTGGGTTTATTCATAGATAAGTACCTAGTTAATTAATGTTTGAAACTCATCACGGTTTTAACATATGAATCAAAAACTATCTAGATGTTGCTTCGCACTGGAGAGTTGAGTTTTTCTACTGCCAGGAATGTGTATTTTCCGTTATTTGAAAATAATCCTGTTCAGATCAACATTTCAATATTGCTTTCGTTCTGCAGAAGCGCGCAATAAAGACAATAATGAGTAGGTCCCAGGCAATCATGTAAACCTTTGTTTCACAGAAGATTTTAACTTTGGATTGGAAAAAACGGTTTGCCTAAATGTATAAAGATGAGATTGAAACTGCTGAGGTTTCAGTCACTTGTTCATCTCATGCGGCTTCACTTCCCATTCTCGCTTCGACCATGCATAACAAAAAAAATCATAATTTATAATAGTAAAAAACTTTTTACCCATCAGCGTTTAAATACCTATAAGACATGTTTAACGTAGGAAGCGTTTTACAATTGAAGTGAAGAATTTATTGGTTGGGAAAGCCTTATTCAGTCGCATAATTTTCCGATGATTCCTTCAATAGGTAATTAATGTTTGTATTTAGTAACATTTGTAAGCGCATGTAATTTATTATTACCTGTTTTTGAGGCTAGACTTTCAATGATTCATTTAACTACCTACTAGTGCTTGTTTTTGTTTGGTATTATAACAAGTTGGTTTTATAATATATTTACGTATGGAAGTTTAAGGTGAAAGGATCTTACTTTTTTGAAGAATGTTTATTAATTTTTTTTAGCATCAAGTAAGAATTTATCATTAGAATATCAAAATGATTTGATAAAAGGACTGTACAGGTTGTCCAAGATTTGATGGTTTTGGCCGGGTTTCGGGTATTTCCAGAGGAGTTGGAAAAAATCTGACTTCCACTTGCGAGCCTCGATTTTCAAGAGAAGTTGACCAGTGAAACTCGCATTTCGATATCTCGATTCGTTTTTAAGCTAAAGGAAAAAAAGTTGACCAAATTTTCATAAATAAAAAAGTTATAGACCCCCTGCCAAACTCCAAACTTTTCAAAAACCCCTCCGTAGCATAAAAACGACTCGACATATCGAGAGGCTGTTTTCACCAGTCAATTTCTCTCGAGGCTCACAAGTGGGAGTCAGATTTTTTCCAACTCCTTTAGAAATACCTGAAACCCACCAAAACCATCGAATCTTGGACACCCTGTACATATTGGTCTTTACTTGATAAATCTGTTTTAAATTGAAATTCGATTAAGTTGATTTTAAATGCATTAACTTGCAAGAAAATCGTGTTGCTGCATGGGGCAGAATGATTTGAGAGGCAAGCAGAAAATCAGACTGGCTGATGATTTTGTCCATTCCTTCGCAGAGATTACAGATAAGGTTGAATTAGTAAATTGGAATTTGTTTCCCTTTTTGTGATAGAAAAAGAACTCCATTCTTTCAATTTCAACAAAAATAAAACACAAATTAAATATAACATTTTCATATTTACTATTTTTTTCCATAATTCATACAGTGATAATAATATTAATAACATTTTCTGCACTAACTCAGTACGTATTCTTAATGACTAGAATAACTATTGAATATTTACACGAAAATATTCATAAATGTTAACATTTCAAGAACATTTAGATTCAACAGAAACATAAACGCTTACAATAAATCCCTCAAATACAATGGTAATTTAAAATATATATTTTCTTTTAAATTTCCATTCCGTAAATTAGAATGGAAAATTAAAACAAAAAGTGTTTATTGACTCACTAGTTAGTTGACATAAACTGGCCACTATTTTGGTACAAAAATATTCACTATCCTTAAAGTCAAAATAATCTGTTAATACAAAAACCTAAAAAAGAGTAGTAACTAGAATGCGAACAAAATAAATTAAGAAACTTAAAAACTAAAAATTTTTTTTAAACTGCTTTCAAATTTTGCAAAGCAGATTATGACTAAAACAGTGGACTAGCCATTTGATACTTAGCTCAATATGGAAAATTGCTAAGTATAAGCTTATAAATTCTTTGGTTGAATAACTATTTTACTTATTTAGACACCATTTTATATTTATTTAAATAGAGAGCGAATTTAGAAAAATCTTCCAATCAGTTGGGAAGAAGTTAATGCTCAAAAAGAAGAAAATTTAGACTAATCAGCATTCAAAAATTTGCCTTGAATGTCAGCTAGCTTTTTGGAAATGATGTTTAAATAAATTACAATAAGTATTTTTACAGCTAAATTTAAAAAAATGCAAAGACATGATTCTTATATAAAGAAAAAAATACAATAAAATGATTTCTCAGTCTTTCTAAAGATCTCTACCATTTTTTTGGAAGCACTTTGATAGTAACTTTCTTTTATTTTTAAATCTCAATCAACTAGAAAGTAGTAAATTGTATCCATAATACTTTGTAGCTAAGAAAAAAAAACCTAAATTTACGATTTATAAGTCCTGATAACGTCCCTGATAACGGCCCGGCACAAAGGACAGTGTCCGCCCCCTTTACCCCGCCACTGTTGCAAAGCACATTCGTAGCACATGCACATATGTCCGCACATGTATAGCACAGCGTCTATCGAGTTTTCGTAGCAAATTGTACATTCTGCTCCCGCGGTTAAGGGATGAGTGGTACCTGCTCCATTTTGTTCCGCCCAGCTTAGCGGAGTCGAGTAGGTACTTGAATCTGAGATTGGCTGTAACAAAAAGGAATTTGTTAATTAGAATGAAATGGAGTTTTTACACGATTTATGCAAGTTTCTTCACAAAAATTGGGTCTTATGTATGTATATGTTTCAGAGGGATAAAAATTGCTATAGGAGGCTCTCAAAATTGCTAGAGACAAGAAGTGAGCCTTTAGTTAGTACATCAATGAGTATTCCTAAACTTCCTTTTAGAAGGGGTAAAAAGCTAACAAGGAAGGGAAGCCAGCATTTTAATGTTGTCTTGTCTTTTAAAACATAGCCGACCCTCATTCAATAATGCCACTGAATGACGCAAAATGTGCGTGTGGTATTCTTTTAGTTGAATTAGAAGATAAAAATGAGTTCTCCTAAATCGATTGAGCTGTAGCTCCAAAACAATCAGACTTTTTTTGAACTTCTCTAGTATATTTCTAGCTTTAGGACAGCCGGGAATGGGATTTTAATGCTATCCCAGTTGCATTAACTTTAGCTTTTACCCAAGAATGGTCGAAACCTTAGAATTCAAAGCTAGAAATGAGGTTTTCACACTTTTTAAATTGAATACGAAGAGTTAGAAAACTCATTTTTATCTTCTAAAAATGAGTTGTCTAACTCGCTCTATCGATTTCTGAATCAAAGTTCAGAAAAATTCAAAAATAAAAAAATTCAATTTTTTGTTCTTTTTCCTAAGAATCCCTTTGGATTTTCATTTCCAAATCTTCAAACCAGAATATCTTGGTAACCAGAAGGAGAACTAGAACAAAATTTTCAGGAATTGTAGCTTTTGACAAGGGCTTTTAGATGGTATTTAACTGAAACCGCTACCATTTATAGTTTTTGAGAAAATCGAGTTTGAAGTTTTGGACAAAATGAAGACTAAATTTTAACTTTGAGGGTCAATATCTTCAAAATTACACAAGCTGATGCAATTTTGCACGTGTTTATAGAGAATTTAATGCTCTTTCCAATGATGTATAAATATTACTAATTTACTCAAATATAATTGAAGATATGAGCAATTATTCATGAGCGTGTCAAGATTTCGAAAGATTTTTAAAGCCAAAAATGAGATTCCCTTCTGGATTTTTTGTCTAATGGAAATTTTCAAATGTTACTGACGTCAGACTTGTTCCTGACTAATTAAGACTCGCTTTAACGATTTCTACAGTCAAAATTGAGAAAAATCAAAAAATGAAGTTTTTCAATTTTTTGCACTTTTTGTCAAGGGTAATTTGGATTTTCATTTCCAAATCTTTAAACCTGAATATCCCGGTAACCAAAAGCAGTACTGGAACAACATTTTCAGAAATTGTAGCTCTTGATAAGGGCTTTTAGATGGTATTTAACTGAAATGGCTACCATTTATAGTTTTTGAGAAAATCGACTTTGAAGTTTTGGACAAAATGTAGACTAAATTTCAACTTTGAGAGTTAATATCTCTGAAACTCTACAAGCTACAAAACCCAATTTTGTACGGGTTTATAGAGAATTTAATGCTCTATTCAATGATGTATAGTTATTACTAAATTTACTCGAATATCATTGAAGATATGAGCAATTATTCATGAGCGTGTTAAGATTTCGAAAGATTTTTAGAGCCAAAAATGAGATTCCCTTCTGGATTTTTTGTCTAATGGAAATTTTCAAATGTTACTGACGTCAGACTTGTTCCTGACTAATTAAGACTCGCTTTAACGATTTCTACAATCAAAATTGAGAAAAATCCAAAAATGAAGTTTTTTAATTTTGGATTTTCATTTCCAAATCTTTAAACCTGAATATCCCGGTAACCAAAAGCGGTACTTGAACAACATTTTCAGAAATTGTAGCTCTTGATAAGGGCTTTTAGATAATATTAAACTGAAATGGCTACCTTTTATAGTTTTGAGAAAATTGTTTGAAATTTTGGACAAAATGTAGACTAAATTTCAACTTTGAGGGTCAATATCTCTGAAACCCTACAAGCTACAAAACCCAATTTGAAACGGGTTTATAGAGAATTTAATGCTCTTTCCAATGATGTATGGTTATCATTAATTTGCTCAAATATAATTGAAGATATAGGCAATTATTCATGAGCGTGTCAAGATTTCAAAAGATTTTTAGAGCCCAAAATGAAATTCCCTTTTCGATTTTTTTTCTTATGGAAATTTTCAAATGTAAATGATGTAAGAGTTGTTCCTGAATAACTGAGACTTGGTCTATCGGTTTCTGAAGTCAAAATTAGGAAAAATCCGAAAATAAAAAAAAATCAATTTTTTGCACTTTTTTCTAAGGGTGCCCTCGTTGGATTTTCATTTCCAAATATTCAAACCTGAATATCTCGGTAACCAAAAGCGGTACTGGAACAACATTTTCAGAAATTGTAGCTCTTAATAAGGGGTTTTAGATGGTATTTAACTGAAATCTCTAGCATTTATAGTTTTTGAGAAAATCGAGTTTCAAGTTTTAGTCAAAATGTACACAAAATTTCAACTTTGAGGGTCATTATCTCTAAAACTCTACAAGCTACAAAATCCAACTTTGTACAGGTTCATAGAGAATTTAATGCTCTTCCCAATGATGTATAATTATCACTAATTTACCTGGATATAATTGAAGATATAGGCTATTATTCATGAGCGTGTCAAGATTTCAAAAGATTTTCCGAGCCAAAAATGAGATTCGCTTTTGGATTTTTTTTCAAATGGAAATTTTCAAATGTAACTGATGTAAAAGTTGTTCTTAACTAATAAAGACGACTCGCTCTATGGATTTTTACAGTCAAAATTGAGAAGAATTTTTTGCACTTTTTTCAAAGGGATTTTCATTTCCAAATCTTCAAACCCGAATATCTCGGTAACCAGAAGCGGTACTGGAACAACATTTTTAAGAATCGTAGCTCTTGATAAGGGCTTTTAGATGGTATTTAACTGAAATCGCTAGCATTTATAGTTTTTGAAAAAATCGACTTTGAAGTTTTGGACAAAATGTAGATTAAATTTCAACTTTGAGGGTCAATATCTCGAAAACTTTACAAGTTTTCTCGAATATAATGGACAACCCACTTCAACAAACACCAGTAGTAATAAAAGTCCTTTGACCTCACACAAAGTTTGGTCAAGGATCAATTCCAGGCTCAGGAAATGATTTGACCCTATGAATATGCCCATATCTATGTAAAAGATATGGAACTGATAAAGTACAGAGGTAAATCACGAGTCAACTGAGTCAGTTGAACCTCACTACATTGAAAATAATTAATTTTATGATTCTCACCTCAATATATTGGGCACTACATCCGCTCATCATGGTACCACTAGGCACTCCACTGGATGTGGTAGGTACTGGTGCCATTCCGGGACTAACCGGTGACAAAGGTGAAGGGGTGTGGTTGTTGTAACCATGATGGTTAATTGATGCAGAGGGTGGAAGGATCACCGATAAAACTGCACCACCGTTGGCAGCCTGTTGAACCTGAATATCAGCTTGTGGGAAACACAATCGTCCATTTTGCTGCTGTTGCGCTGGCCTGGCTTGAACTGGTAGAATGTCTGCGTCTCTAACGATTAAACTTTGCCTATAAAAAAATTGAAATTAATATAAATTCACGGTTTTAAAACAATTTAGTTTGCCTTACCTAGAGTTCTGGTTTCCCTGCCTCGTCATCTCGTTCTGCAAATTAAGACTATTAATAGATTCACTGGTAGCCATGTGTCTTCTATCTATAATATTTTGGCTCGACGAATTTCTTAGGGGACTAGTAGTTAAATTGGTGACTGGATGCCCGCTTAACACTCTTATGCGTTCAGTTGACCCGTAGATATCGAAAAATGCCCATAATCTATAAAAAACACATATAAACATACAAAGCCATTAAAAATCTATAAAAAAAAATCTTACCTTAAAGATTGATCAACATGCATCACAACCAAAGGAGAACCTCCATTTTTAGCTATTTGCACTTCACCGTTTGGTGCTACACAAAAACTAACTTCATCACCTTTATTGAGGTTCCTAGCAAAATCTCTTGAAAGTACCCAATATTCAGGCCTATCAAGCAAAAAGTTAGAATCATCCGGTAAGTCACTAGTGGTAAGACTTGATGGATCACAAGACGTCAAACCTAATCCGAGACATCCTTGAAACATAGGCTCGGTAGCCAAAATTTGAACTACAATTCTTTCTCCTATTTGCAAAGGTCTCGCGGTGAAAACGTAGCCTTGGCAAAATTCCGCGTCACTTCTCATTGCTACGCTTCTGTTACCACCGCAAAATCTAACGTTTCTGCCTTTGGTCCTGTGAAGAGGCATGGCCTGATAGTTGACAGTGTGAGGTTGAAACCTTAATAGAGGCAAATTCAGCTCTTGTGTTGCCAATTGATTGGGTAATTGTTGAATGTGAAGCTGTTGCATTGGATATGTTATTCTGTCAATTGGATCCGGTGTACGTGGATGTTGAATTGGAGCTTCACAGGTAGGAGTTGGAGTGATACTTGAGCTAGAATTAAAATATTTTGTTAGGATTTGAATATTGCAAGAAGGCAATAATATTCTTACCGAGAGTTGTTTAATTGATGTCTGATATCCATAAATTCAATAGCGGTTGAATTGCCATATACATCAATTAAGGCCCATACAGGACCTCTAGTTTCAACTCCACCGAAAAATATGCCTTTTTCTTCTCCATTTATTCCAAAGTGCACATCTCCAGTAGAAGTAACATAGTAAAATAAAACGGTACTCTGGCTGCAAAATCTTTCTGGCAACGCCTTCGCCCAGTATCCAGGTTTGTTGGTGAGATCCGGACAAGCGTATTTTGGCAGGCCGTAACGGAGTCCGGTCGGGTCGTTGGACGTAAAGCCGAATCTGATAACGCCGCTCCAGTTGTTGGAGATTTCCAGGAATTTGATGCATACTTTTTCGTTGACTTTGACCGGTCGGCTACTGAAAGCGATCCCTTTGCAAAAGCTTTCTACTCTTTTGGCTACCGTTCCGTCACGGGATATTCTGATGTTTTCACCGTGGATGTTGTGGAAAAGTAGAGGTGGTAAATTGTTCGTACCGTGAGTGTGAGATGAGGATCTTGAAGCTGAAACAATAAAAAAATAACTGTCAGATGGATTGTTTGAACTTTTGTAGTAATTATCTTGTAAAGTTTTGACCAACTGCAATAAGTGAAAAATGTTGCTCCTGTAATATGTGGTTTCTAGAACCAAAAAATAACATATTCAAGTAATTGAATAGTATAACAATTATAGTTGAATGCATAATAATTTATTCTGTGGTCAACTACGTCAGCATTTGACCAAAACTGTATTTTTGGAACCAAGCAATTCGGAAAACCATGTGGCTAACTAACCCAAAGGCAGGGAAAAGAAACGCCACTCTTACGAAGTCGTTCAGACCTATATGCCTCATGTCGTTCTTGCTTAAAACAGCTAAGAAAGTTGTAAATAACTACATCAGAACAAGTGTTTTAGAAAAGACGCCATTACCTCCTGGGCAGCATGCTTACAGAGCGGGCAGATCAACAGAAACCGCTTTACTTGAACTCACCGACAGCATCCAAAGCACATTGCATAATAAAGAAGTAGCCGTCTACACCTCTCATGAGTCAATAAAGAATGCGCTCGTCAAAAAAGGAGTGGATAAAACTACATCCACCTGGATGTGCGAAACGCTAGCCACCAGAACTGCAGAAACTGACATGGGTGAACAAACCATACAGGTCAGCACACTCACCACCAGTAGAGGATGTCCGCACCTTTGATGTGGAATCTAGTGGTTGATGAATGACCTCCTAAATGTACTGACCGATCAGGGCTTCACCTGTTTTGGATACGGCGATGATCATCATGATCATCAAATACGAAACTTTATAGAAAAAGCACTTCGCACCACGAAGGAAAGGTGTCATACAGGACTGAATCTAAACTCAGCAGAAACTATACTAGTAACATTTACAAAAAGAACGAAATACCCAAACCTGAGAAACATTCGCCTCGATGGCAGCGGACTTGATTGGAAAAAAGAAATTAAGTTCCTAGGAATAACCCTCAGAATAACCCTAGATTCCAATCTTGTCTGGAATTGACATGTAGAGAACACAAAAAACAAAGCAATTTCGGCACTCATGGCCTGCAAAAACATTGCAGTTAAAACATGGGGTTAGTTTGTTATTAAATCAATAATAATAGTCTTATTCGGATTTTACAGTTTTAAACTCGTTATACTTTCACGTAGTGTCGAATGGAATCTTTCGATTGGACTATTCGAATTTGGATTTCTTGGAGTGCTGTAAGTAAATTCAATTTTGTGTAATGAACATTATGTCATTATAGCATTTTTGAGCTCTGCTCCAATATCTAATGTGATTTTTTGAGGTATTCCATAATCACTAAAATATTTCAATAACTGTGATGTTATCTCTATAGCTGTTTTCGTATTTACAGGGAGTGGCTTGACCAAATTTTGAAAGGCTATCAATAATGGTCAGAAATTTCTGGTTATTGATCATATACATTTTTTAAAAATTACTAATTAATTGTCAAATTGTTCTCGTTCATGAGAAAACGCACAGAATATTTTATAGTAAATTTTATTATTCAGTAAATATATACGTGCCTAGTTATTTAAAAGGGGTGAGATTTCATTCTGCTTGCCTGGAACCCACTTAAAACTTTTACACTGGCGCCCAACGTGTGGCCAGGAAACTGTTGTGATTTCTTATTTGGAGAGGTGCGTCTACCGGGTCCTTGGAAACTTCGTGGACAAAAGTGGCCGGTTCCGAAATACATTTCGGCGAAAAGTGAGTGATTGCGGATTTTGGACTCTTTATGGACAAAAGTGGCCGATTCTAAGGAACTGTTCGGTTTCAAAGCATTGGTTTAGCTTTATAAGATTTGTGTACGTCGTTTCTTGTGAAAAATCGATGTTAACAAACTGTGAAAAAGTTTAAATCCAACCATACGTCAGAAGGTATATGTATAATTTACGTTCTCGCTCTCGCTCCCAGTCCCGTCAAAATATTTTAGATCCAACTATGGCTGTAACGTTGACAGACGAACAATTCACCCAGTTATTGGCTAGATTACCTATCGCTATATATTACATTTCTCAATGAGTGAATATCTGTCAAACTTGCCGATGGACAATGCCACTTCCAAAGACGTTCTCACCGCCATATTAAGTATAAAGTTATTCCCACGCAATTTACCGTGTTTCCAGATACACAAACCTACATTATTCGGAATAGATTTCATACAAGATGCAAAAATCATTCTAGACACTGCCTCTCAAGAATAGAGTCTTTCTGATGATCCGAAAATTGCTTATCGGTTAGACTTTGAAAAATCTTGGACTCCCAAGATTCAATCAGAAGTGGCCATGTCTTGTGTTGACGTCCTACGCCCTGATGAGGGTGCTATGTTGACCAGTGAAGAAAGAGGCAAGTTAAATACCTTACTAGAAAGTCGGAGAAATATTTTTGAAGTGGGGGGAGAACCAACCCCCTTTTCGAATCATTACATCAACACAAAAGATCATTTGCCAATAGCCATGCCACCGCACCGTATGGCACTTCAGAAAAAAACTCTACTCAAGGAGGAATTAGATCGCCTTTTAGAGGAAGGCATAATTGAGGAATGCGAGAGTCCATGGGCCGCACCTGTGGTTTCAGTACCCAAGAAGACAGGCGGAATGCGCCTATCAAAAACTAAACCATGTCACTGTGACAGATTTTTATCCGCTTCCACGCATAGATGACCTCTTATATGCGGCCAAACGCACAACGTACATGTCTATCATTGACTTGAGATCGGGTTACCACCAGGTGAAAGTACATGAACCAGATTGTGACAAGACTGCTTTTGTGACGTCTATTGGAACATATCGTTACACGCGCATGCCGTTCGGCCTCAAAAATGCACCCGCAACATTCCAGCGGCTAATCGACAGGTTCCGGAACGGATTGAAGAAAGATTGCGGTAGTATAGTAGTTCTAGCGTACTTGGATGATCTTATTGTCCTTTCCAGTTCATTTGATGAATAGAGATGATAGAGTTTGGGTCACTGTCCATGCGCTCAGTAATGCTGCAAAGGGAGTAACATCGAAATTTTACCCAAAACGGGACGGCCCATACGAGATTGTTAAGATCGTTTCTCCTACAAGCTATCAAGTAGCCAGCCTCAAGGATCCAACCGTGCCACTGGGAATCTATCATGTTGGAAGTTTGAGTCGTGCCAATGTAATTGAGGAAGATTTGCCAGTTGTGCCTTTAAGAAGGAGAGGCAGACCCAAAAAGCAAAAAAGTACTTCTGGTCCCTCTTCCTCTTCCAGACGAGTTCGAGACCAGGGGGGAGAGTGTAACAAACAGACCTTGAAACGTCCCTGGATCGTCTAGAGACTAGTTTGTCAGAATTGGTCATATTTTTTTTCAATTAGGTATTGATTAATTGTCAAATTGTTCTCGTTCATGAGAAAACGCACAGAATCTTTTATAGTTAATTTTGTTATTCAGTCATATATACGTGCCTAGTTGTTTAAAAGGGGTGATATTTCATTCGGCTTTCCTGGAACCCATTTAGAACTTTTACATTGGCGCCCAACGTGGGGCCAGGAAATAGGAAATTGTTGTGATTTCTTATTTGGGAAGGTGCGTCTACCGGGTCCTTGGACGAGAAAAACTTTTCTATCGAACTAAGTACAAAAAACAGATGGAACTTGGAATCTATCCAATCCCTTAAGGCAAACACCATCAAATGGTACACAGACGGTTCCAAAACTGCTAAGGGAATTGGAGCCGGATTATTCGGGCCACGAACCTAATACTCGGAGCCAATAGGAAGAGCTGATTTCAAGCGGAACTCCATATGATCGGAAGATGCGTGGAGTTCAACCTGAACAGAAGTTATCGGAAAAAAGAGATTGTAATAAAATAATGTCTGACACCCAAGCATCAATCAAAGCATTGAGATCCCCGGTCATCAATTCTAAGACAGTATGGGAATGTCTACAGAAACTAAATGAGCTGGGAAAACAAAGTAAAATAACCCTCCTCTGGGTGCCCGGACAGATAGGTGTCGAGGGTAACGATTGCGCAGACAGACTCGCAAAAACGGTAGCGTTTACTCCCTTCACTGGGCCAGAACCATTTCGCGGCGTCGGAAATACGCACCTAAAAGAAATCCTCAAAAAAGAAGAGAACCGGCTAAGAAATAAACAATAGCTAGAAGAACAGCCAGGACTACGACAGGGTAAAGATCTATTGGGCAACTTCAACTAAAAAAAATGAGAACTGCTGGTCAACTTTAGCAAGAAAAGTATCGAGACTCTAACCGGATTTCTCTCGGGACATTGCAGATTCAAGAAACACCTACAGAAGTTGGGGTTAGAAGAAGGGGGCACCTGCAGATTCTGTGAAGACGGAGAAGAGACATCTCACCATCTTCTACTGAACTGCGATGCCGTTAGTCGCTCAAGAATGAAGAACTTTGGAAGTGCCCTTATACAGTTGGAAGACATTCTAACCCTGGAACCGCTGGATACCCTAAAATTCCTTAAATTGAAGGACCTAGGACTGGAGGGGCTGCTTTGAGCAGGAAACCCCCGAAAGCAGCAGAAGGACGGGTACAATAGATCAATCTCGAGATCAACCTTAGTCGCGGTGCAACTGACACCTCCAACACACACATACACATGTAACTAAATTCATATTTCAGAGGAAGTATATTAATCCTGTTATAATATTAGGTACCGAATATATTATCGAAATTTGAAACCTGCATCATCAAACAAAAAGCCATACAAGCAACAAGTTCCTTTTATAATCAAGTGATACCTACTACTTCCTATTTCCCATCATTTATCATGCAACACTTGTGAAAAAAGAAATCAACCCCCTTGCAAAAAAAAGCCATCGCAAAAAAATCCAAAAGCTCAAAGATCGTGGGATTTCATATGAAATCCATATGAAAAAAATAAGCTTCCCCCTCTACAATATTTCGTTGTGCACCTTTACGTTTTACCTGGCTATAATAAGTTCTTCCACCCCAGCTAAAGAACAAAGCCCTTAGCCAGCTGTTGCTTCT